AACTAAGGTTATAGAAAAAAGAATATATGTTTTGAAGTTGCCTTGTAAACCTTATGATTCAAAGCTTCATGATAGAATTAGTTAAAGCAAAATTTTAACTCATAGAAAATGTAAATGGTTGTAATAGATCAACCAAATAATCTATTACACAAACAAAATACTAATATGTAACTTCATGTTTAAAATGGATGTTGAGCTAGCTCCAAGTGGTAATCATGTAAGTTAGGTAGACTGAAGGAAGGGGAAATCCATCATATGGATGGTCGAACCATGCTGGATGGTAGGGCGAAATTTCAAAAATTTATTTTACCCTTCCAGGAATTGTATTCCTAGTTTTAGAAAAACTGCATTTTTCAAGGATTGTTCTTGCACCGAATCAGACCAGATTTGAAACCAAAAGAAAGGGAGAAGGATACCTGATACGGATTTCACACGAGTAGCTCCCAAAGTGAGTGTTCACGCCAAATAGGATACCAAAACCAGCTTCCATTGAAGATGGCGCAACTTGAATTGAAGCCGGTTCAGCAACGCAGTCCTTCAGCAAGAATTGCAATCCAACAGCTTGGATCGAGCAAGGGATGTGAGCACGATGCAAATCTGATTTTTCTTGCAAAAATCAGAAACCAAGAGTGATCAAAATCAGTCACCAGATGGAGAACGAATTAGGGTTTGGGCGGCAAGAGCAGAGGGAGAAAACTGAGAGCAGAAAGGTGAAGTCTGGAGCAGTTCGCCCTCCTCTATTTATAAGTCTTAATGATCAGCTTCTCCTAATCCAAATCTTTATTTGGATTTGGACTCCTTAAGTGATTGTTGATCTAAGCCCATATCCATACCCAAATTCGCCCAAGTCACATGACTGCTTAAGCTGTCATGTGACTTTTTAATTAATCCAATTAATTATGGGCCTTAGGCCCATTAAGCAAGTAGGCTCATGTCCCCTTTTAGTTGCTAGCCAATTTGTCTCTCTTTGTATGGCATGGGACCCCAACAATGACCTCACAAAATCCCATATGGATTCAACCTAGCTTGTGACAAAGCCTGGCCGAATTCATTGCTAAGCACAGTGAACCCCTGAGTTCATCAGTATGGGCTCTTAATGGGCCCAACATTTACATTAAATGGTCCTTGAGTCCAGCCATCCTATGAAGGCCCAAGGACAATGATCTTAAGTGAGATTAGCCCATCAGGTATAACAACCCTAAATGGTCTTACACTTAACCTCTCAGCCCTTAATGATCAAACATTGCCCGACAAGGGAGGACCTCTCCCTTGGCTGCAAGGTGCAATGTTGCGCTCTCTACTCAGATGGATCCCGGGAATTAGAACCTTTTGCAAACATTTTTCTTAGAACATAATATATATATATATATATATATATATATATATATAATATTTTCATATAAATATATTTTGCAAAACAAATCTCAAACAAGTTTGAAATCAACTGCCGGTAGTTTTGGTTTCCATTAGAGAGAGTGCAATCCCGATCATTCACTTTGTTCGACAAAGGGGCTGGTCCTGTCACTATGATCACCCGCTCGAGTGTATTCTCAGACTACCCCAATATACCCAGGTTTTGACCCCCACTAAGGATCTTATTGATTGGCATATCAAAGACAGCCCAATCTGACACCCAATGTAGTACCATAATTGAGTCTAGGGGTTAGGTGTAATTTTCCAATTTTGCCCACCAGTCTCCAAGGTCCAGGGCATAATTGGAAAATGGTCTAGGTTCAGTGTTTCAAGCAAACACACACTACATGTGCTTTGGGTCTAACCCTGACAACTAAGATAGCCTTGGCAGGATAAACTTCCCCAAGTCTATCCAACGGCTGAGAACATTCTAAACTAACACGAGTCTCATAAGTGTTCGGTTTAAGGGTAATTACATAGAAACTCATCAAATATAACATAAGCCAATTATGTACTTTTATTCATTTATAATAAATGTCAATCTGATTGAAGCTAGGGGCATACACTGTCTAACACAGACAATAACATTGTTACTTCACATATCTACAATATTGTCACCAACTTATGTTGCTACCCATGGAAGTGGAAATGGAAATATATCGTGGAAACTCTCTTGTATTCCACATAGTGTTGGTAGTGTTCATTGGGAAAATGTCGATTCCAGTAAAATTTCATGTCGCTACCCTTGGAAATGGAAATATGTCATGGAAATATTAGGGAAATTTTAAACCATGATTTTGTCATCTTTCTTCTTATAAAACAAGGTGTGGTCAGCATTGCTCTGCTTATATCCCACATAGTTCATGGCTATGCATAGTATCTCAAACCATGCTCGTTGAGATTGCTTTAAGCCATACAAAGCTCTTCTTAAACTTCTTCTTGGAGATCACCGTTTAGGAATGCATTCTTGACATCAAGTTGATGTTATTCCCAGGAAAAGTTTGCAGGTAGAGAGAGAACCCATATTGTATTCAGCTTTGCAGTAGGAGCATATGTCTCCTTATAGTCAATGCCCTCTTTCAAAGTGAACCCCTTAGCAACAAGTCTTGCCTTGTACCTCTTTACTAACCCATCTGCCTTGTATTTTATTGTGTAGACCCACTTGCAACCCACATTTTTCTTCCCATGTGGCAAAACCCACTAACTCCCATGTTCCTGCCTTGAACAGAGTTTTCATTTTTTCATTCATTGCTTCTCTCCATTTGGGATCAAGAGTAGCTTCTGAATACTTGGAAGTAGTAGTGGAAGACAAAGTAGATAAAATAGGAGTGATAGGCAGGGGAAAGATGAGAGTATTAAACAAACTTTGATGTTGGGTGCAAAGTACATGAGTGAATTTGCTTACACAAAGCAATGGGTAGATCTAAATCAGATTTGAAGATAAACACTGACCAAGTTGAGAGCCACCCGATTAATCATGGACTTAAGCTAGAGGATCTCTGTCATGAAGCTAATAAGAAACCATTTTTGCTCTTTCTTTTATATACACTCATCTCCATTCTTTCATGTGTCGTGGACTGAGTGGTGACAGGGTCAGGAGCCATAGCAATCTTTTCATGGCAAGATGGATTAGAGGACGGTGGAGAGGATGGAGGTGAGGAATTAGGATGAGATTGAGAAAAAAAGGGTTTACCTTAGGAAACCTCTTCCACCCTACTGTCTCCCCTTGAAGAGGATCCCGGGGAGGCTCAAAGAATGACTGGGATTCAAAGAATGTACTTTCTTTGGTAAAAGCTTCCTTTCAGTATGGGGGATGAAGACACTTATAGCCCTTTTGAGTGGGGGAATAGCCAAGGAAGACACCATGAACAGCCTTGGGGTCCAATTTGGTACTCTTTGGATCTGTGACATGGATAAAACACACACAACCAAACACTTTGAGTGGTAGAGAAAACTCAATGTTATTAGGACAAAGAATTGGAAGCGGAGTCTACATGCCCAACACCCTAGATGACCAATGAAGGATTCCTTTGTCTTCAAGGAAGATATTCAAGGAACTCTCTAAGTATTCATCTTCATTCTCTGACCGAAGCTGCTTTACTTTCTTCCCGAAATGTGTCTCAATCATTTTGTAAAAAAATTACAGTAATTCTGGGAACTTCTCTCCGTCATCAAATATATCCACCTACATCAAGAGAAATGATCAATAAAACCAACAAAATAGCGATAGCCATCCAAAGAAACAACAGGAGAAGGGCCCCATACATAGTCCCCCTTTCAACTAGTGTTATGCGTTCTTCATTCTTCTTAATGTGAAAGATTTTTATTAAAAATAAAGAAAAGTGAGATTCTCCTTTCTCTTCTTCCTCCTCATCCCTCTCCTCTTAAGGAGGCTTACATCTCCTTGTGTTTGGGAGGCTTACGCCTCTAGGTAGTAGAACGCCTTGTGTCATGCCTGTGTTTTAAAACATTGGTTACAATGTTGCATGACATCTTTGTTCTTAAATATAGGCACCATATTCTTTTATTATTTTATTAAATAGCTTGGTCAGCCATACTAAAACTACCCCTCCCATACCTTTCCACATGTCTACTGGAATTACATGAGGTGCTAATGCCTTTCTCTTCTTCATCTTATTTAATTCATCTTTTGCTTCAGTAGGTCTAACTCTATGAAGGTATGTATTATTTTTAACATTATTAGTATTGTTAACTTTTCCTACATTAGCACCATTTCCTTGTTTATTTAATAATTTTTCAAAATAGTTTTTCCATCTTTTTGGTTTCCTCATCTTTTACCAACTCTTTGATCTTCATCTTTAATGCACTTAACATGGTTTAAATCTTTGCCTTTCCTTTTTCTTGACTTTGCTAGTTTATACATTTCTTTTTCTCCCTGTTTAGTGCTTAGTTTATGGTAAAGCTTATTATAAGCCTTATATTTAACTTCATTCTCTTTCCTTTTAACTTCTCTTTTTATGGTTTTATATATTTTTTTTTCTAAATTTCTACATTTTTAACCTTTTGCCATTCTTTGTAACATGCTTGTTTTAATTTGATTATATTTTGAACCTCTTCATTCCACCACCAATTCCTTAGTATTTTTTTTTTGATAAATGTGGTTTCCTTGTTATTTCTCCATTTCCTTTTAAATGATTCTAATAGATCAACCAAATAATTTATTATGTAATAAAATGTAAGATTTAACTTGATAATTGAAAAGAATTCCAAGCTGTCTCAAAGTTATAATGATAACAGTGATAATACTCAACATATCTAAAACATCAGCTCCAACTCATTATAATACTCTCTTGTATTCTGCATAGCCCTGGTAGATTTCATTGGGGAATGTGTTGATTTCAAAAAATATTTAATGTTTACTCATGGAAGTGGAAATATGTATTGAAAATATTAGGAAATATATGGACATTTTAAACCATGAATTGCACACACAGAAACTCTGCAGTCATTACTCTGTTCTTTCCTAGCTTCTGCTAGTTTGGAATATTCTACTTGCAGTATTAATTTCATAACAGTAAATTATCTGTTTGAATTCTTACATATGGTCTTTTTTTATTTATTTTCAGCTCCAAAGCCTCACCGACCAGTTCAGCTATCTTAGTGAAGCTCCCACATTTAAATTATTTCACTGAGCTAGGATGTCATGTTATCTGTTCGTTTATTTATGTTCATTCTCTCAATTGTGGATTAGTATTCTATCTTTTGATAACTTTGGACCCATTTACCAATCAATTATCCATGGTTCTAATTCAAGATAATAAGAAATAAATTAAAGATAATATTGCATATTAACGCTTGTCTAAGGATATTGACTCTTTTAATGTCCTCTAATTGTGTTTGAGATTTTGGCCTGTCAACCAAATGATTAAATTTCCTTGGCATATTTTGCACTGTATGTTCAAGTTCATAAGATAGGTTGTTGAAGATACATGGGAAGACCTTCCTGTTGGAATAGGGATCTGGAATTGGAACCGGAATGGGCCATGCTGATTCTAACTGTTTGGTTGGGCGGAATCGGAATTCCTTTCCCATTCTTGGTGGAATGGCTTTCCCCCATTTGAAGGAATGGTCATTTTCTCCCCTTCCCTTGGGAATGGAATTCCATTCCAGTTGCTTCCAATTTTCTTTCTGATTCCTATCTGAACCAAACAGACTATGGGAATAGACCACTCTGTGACTGAACCAAATGGACCCTGATATGGGAAGACCTTTTTATTTGAAGCTCATTGTTAGATGGTATATGATGACAGATGACGCAGGTGCCTGCAAGGCAATGATCTCATTAATGGATTGTAGGGTATACTGGTTTTTGTTTTTTTGGTAATAAGGGTATACTGGTTAGAACGTGGCATTTGACATGGCCTCATGGGACTAGGTTTCAGAAGCTTAAACATTGGATTTGAGTTAATGATTTTATTTTGTTCGGACGATTTTTGGATGGTATCAATTGAATAAAGTTTCAAGCAGAAGCTATAACAATATGAGAAGGGTGGCTGGATCATTCTCAGTTACTACATTTCTAAAAGTTTACTATCTGAATTCTGAAATGGAGGAAGTTGACCACAAAAAAGCTCAAGGCTAAGATGCAAGGCTTCAAAGTGATACAACTCATGAATGAATTCTAAAACAAATCAGGGGTCTGGTCTAGCAGATTTGTTCACCTCAAGTAGTTTTCATGTGTTGAGAAGGTTCTTTAAATCAAATCGGTTGAGGATTTGATTGCATCTTGAGTCTGAATGAATTTTATGGATTGGAAGGGTTGGAACATGATGAACCTTGGAAAATATCTACACATTTTCAATCAATAATTATTCATTCATGTGAAAATACTTGAAAAGTTTATTCCTTCTTTCGGGATTTGATTGCAAGCAAGGCTTAGAATATTAGTATCACAAGGTAAATATAAGAATGAAACGTATCATGATATGCTTTGGATTTGGATATGATATATTGATATTGTGAAATGTTGATTGTATTAAAAAAAATATAGCATTGAAATTCATATAAAACCCAAAAATGTATAAATAACACTAAACCCGATGCTTAAAAATCTATATATTAGGTATGTATACATGAAATATTCTTATTATAGTAGTTTATGTGAAGTGGGTTATTGTAACACTTTTAAATGATAAAAAATAGTCGAAGAATTAAAATATGTATGTATATGTTTAGGAAAAACTTCATTAATATCTATTAAGCTTCAAAGCATAGTTTAAAAAATCAGATCAGACCAGACGGTCGGATTGGTTGACTTGGGAACCGTTCAGACAACCAGTTCCATTTCACTCTATAGTTGTTCGTAGGCCAAAAGCCATTGACTTGGTCGGTGACCTGCTGATCTAGACAGTCAAAAAGTTGACCTATCGACCAGTGGAGGTGTAGTAAGAAACTTTATAGGGTTTTTTTTTCCTTGCTTTCCACAATTTTTATGGCGAGAGAACCTCTATTAGAGCTGAAGCTCTCTATGATGGCCTTCTGATTTGCTCACAACATTTTAGAGGTAGAGATTGAGAGTGATAATCAATCTTTGATTGATATTCTCCTTCAAAAAATTCCCCACCCTTGGCATCTAACTTATATCCTTCAGAAAATAAAGAAAACATGTGCTGGTATGCACCTTTCTTTCTCTCATAGATTAAGAAGGTAATAAATGCGCTAACTTCTTTGCTAATGAGGGTATTAGTGAAGGAAATTTCTATGCTTACAATTCCATCATTGAAGTTCCAAGAGAGGCAAGATTACTGCTAGGGGTGGCTACGAGCTATTCGAGCTCAGCTTGGCTCGGTTTAAGCCAAGTTTGGAGATGAATTCGAGCCTGATATATAGGGTCATTTGCTAATTGAGCTGAGCTCGAGCCCAGCGATGCTCGACTCGTGAGCCTAGTATTAAATAAATCTCTTAAACTACCCCTAATGTTTGCGAAATTGACTAACTCTACCCTTACTATTTATATAGTCTTAAAGTACCCTTAAGTTTTCTGAGCATTGACATGCCGTTAAACACTAACAGAAAAAATGAAATATCGAATTTGCCCTTCACTATTCATCAAATTTTCAAAATAAAACCCAACTGATGAAAAACCCTTGATTTCCAATTTTTTCCAAATGCAACCTCAAAAACCCAAAACCGTATTTGAGACATCTCCCTCATGCATCTAATTTCAGATTGAAAATCTTGTGGTTTTCTATAATGAATCTCAGGTCTAAGTATCAGATACCAAAGGACCAAAGTTGTCAGAGGTGGTGGAATCGGGTATAGAAATTTCGCCGACCTTTTCCTTTTTCTTTCTTTTCTTTTCTAATTTTGATTTTGAACCTTCTCTTTCCACAAACTTGCTTCCCAACATCATTATGTAAATCCTCAACCTTCTCTTTTCCCTTTCCTTCTTGAGTTTTTCTTTGTTGATGGTTTACATCTCCATCAGCTTGAGATGAATTTGTTCTGGACTTTATCAAATTTCCACAGAAATTGTTGGCTTCTTGCACTTTTCCCTCTCTTCCTCAGAGATTGTGTACTCATAATCCGAAGATCCAGAGCTCACAAAATCTGAATCTGAGTGCACAACATTCTTCTTTCTTTTCCCAGGCTTCCTCTTACTCTTCTGCAAAGACCCTCTGTCAACTATGAATTCATCACCAGAGCTTATTACCCTCTTCCTCGATACCTTGGACCTCCTCCTTTTTTTCATTGGCTTTTTTGAAACCTTGGACTTCCTTTTCCTTTTTCGACTCCTTAAAAATATCTTTTTCTGTGTTGTATGTTTTCTCCCCTTACTCCTCTTACTAACCTACAACTCTTCCTCATCATCTACATAATCAATTTCATCTGGCCTAAATTCCTTGTCACCATCATCACAATCGTCGTCTCCATCCTTGTTGTAATCATCTGACAACCTGATTCTTCTACCTAACCGTTTGAGCCTAGTTTTTGACCAACCAAAAGAACCCTTTTAGGGTTTTGATATGGAAAGTTCCATCTTCTCTTCAGCTACAAAATCAATTCCATATGGAATAAATTCCTTGTCACAACAATCATCATCTGTTTCTTCTTCTTCTTTGTCTTCACTTGCACCTCTACTAGTTCTTTTACACATTTGCTTCGACTCACTTTTCCTTGAACGAGAAGAACTACTTTGGTGTCTCGATTTAACAAACTTTTGTTCCTCCTCAGTCCCATCTGACATGAATTCGCCATCTTCATCAGAATAATAAGATGAAACTATAGTTCTTTTACAAAATCATTTATTAATACTTCTTTTTTGACCAGAAGAACCTCTTCGTGGTTTGGATCTAACCATCTAACAAACCTTGCCTGATGAATGCATCTTGGAGATCTTCAAGTTTCTTCCATCCTCTAGAGACCGCTGCTCTTGCACTACTGTCTCGAAGAAATGACTTGCCTTATAGGCCACTATGCAGATTTTTGAGTTAAAATTCGAGCCAAAATCCCGCAACAATAAAATCTCGAGTTGCTTGGAAGGAAAAAATGCAAACGATACACGATTACCTGCTCGGAGATTCTAGCTGACAACATCCTTCTCACCAAACTTTTGCCGTTCAGAAGTTGTAGTGGCTATTGTCGCCTACGATGATGATACCAATATCACTACCACCGCTGCAACTTCCAACAATGGCGGTAAAATAAGGGTATTTTAGAAATTTTAAAATAATTACCACTCACGTGATGTTACATGTGAATGGAGTGTGACGGAAAATTAACGTCAAGGGAGGTTTTAGACAATTGTCAAAAAACTTAAGGGTACTTTAAGACAATATGTAAACAGTAAGGGTAGAGTGAGTCAATTTCACAAACAGTAGGGGTGGTTTAAGAGATTTTACCCTAATTTTTATTATACATACATACATACATACATACATACATACATACATACATACACACACATACATATAAATATATATATATATATATATTTATTATATATAATAATATTTTTATTTTTCATGTATAATAGTAAATAATTTATATAATTATTTTTTGTATGTATAATATTAAATAATTTTTATAGTTCTTATTTTTTGTTTAAAAAATAAAAAAATAATTTTATACATAATTTTTATTTTTAATAAAAAAACATGGCTTGTAGTCGACCTTGAGCCGAGTCGAGCTCGAACTTGTGAGTTATGAATCGAGCCAAGCTCGATCTCAAGTCTCTAGCTCAAATCGAGCTCGAGCTCGAGCTTGATACTATTCCTGCGAATCGAGCTCAAATAGCCAAGTATTCAGCTCGACTCAACTCGAGTCCACCCCTAATTATTGCTTAAAGAAGACTATTTTGTTATTCTGTCTCTTTGAATAGGTTAATGGTCTTTGTTTTTTTATTGGTTTTTATTTTTCTAGTTTTTGAGCCTTGTATTGGGTTGGGATGAGAGGGTAAGGTTGTGTGTTCTGTTGTTGGGTTTTGGGGCAAGGTGGGCTATGTCCTCCCCTATTTTGATTTACCTCTCATATGATAATGGTTAATAAAATTTTAGGTGGCCACCCCTCCACCTGGAGTAAACTTAGGGGTATTAAAAAAAAATCAACCAACAATGAACGAATCTGAAAAGATCCTTTTACATGTCACTAAGCACTTGTATCTTCCTAGTTATGGTTTAAGTGTTGTTCAAGGGAGTTCACATCTCCGCCCCACAAGAAGCCGCCCCACAACGCCCCACAGCACATCTCCGTCGTGTATTGGGAACATTTCCCGATGATAATACCAGTCCCAATGATGTCATCATCAGGAGATGTTCCCAATACACGGCAGGGATGTGCTGTGGGGCAGCTCCTTG